CTCCCGCCCACCGCAGGCCGGCCGCAGGCCTGCGCCGGGGTTCCCGGGGACCCGCCTATTGTGGCTTGACACGACCCGCTTAGTGGCAACCTGCAGCTCTTGGGGCTGAGATATGGCCAGCTGCAAACCCAGTTCGGGCCATCTGTCATATCTAACCCAGGGCGTTCTCCTCAGAACCCTTACTATCATTATTATTATTCTTCCCGCCTTTTTAATAGGTATTACTCAAGGCAGCAGACGCGTCTAAAGTTCCTCTGTCCCTGGTTTCCTATTAAATCTTTTACACACGCGACAGTTTGTTTTTGCTGGCCTTGCATACTGAGGGGGGAGAACTAGAGTCCCCAGCTGTCCACCAAGGGGACGCGGGGGGGGGGAGAAAGAGCGCTGCCTCCTGCAGGCGCCAAGGCCGGAGGGCTTCTGGCCTGCTCTACGGACCCTCCAGCAATTTAGCGGTAAACGCAGGTGAGGAGAGCAACAGGGAGTGTTGTAAATCAGTTAGGATTTCCTTGGCAGAAGCTGGAATCAGCATATTGTCAGGAGTTTTGCACTTTGGCACGTTTCTTGCTCAAGTTGCATTTTTAGGCGTTGAGCCTTTGCTGAAAACAAAGAGTAGTGTTCTAAATTTCCAGGTCTGAATGTGTGTGTGTTTTTAATAGCCATTTCAGTCACTGTAATTGTCAGAGGAAGAGTTGATGCTCAAAAGGCACTAATTCCTTTGATGCTAAGGAAATATCTGTATCCACGCGTCTTTGCAGAACAACTGGCCAGAGTTTTATGGTGGCGGTGAGCTGCCAAGTTGAAATAATACAGGTAGTTCTCGACTTACAACCACAATAGGGAACAGAATTTCCATCACTAAGCAATGCGGTTGTTAAGTGAGTCGTGTCCAATTTTACGACCTTTTTTGCCATGGTTGTTAAGTGAATCCAGCTTCACCAATTGACTCTGCTTGTGGGAATTCCCCTGGGAAGGTTACAAATGGCGGTCATGTAACCCTGGGATGAAAGGAAGGCACTTTTTTTCAGTGCTGCTGTAACTTCGAACGGTTGTTAAATGAATGGTTGTAAGTCAAGGACCACCTGTAAGTGCAAAGTACCCTTGACCGTTTCAGGTTTCTGCTTCTTTCCATCCATTGGGGAAATACAAGGATCTAATGCTTCTCTTGGCTTCTAACTATCCATGAACATTACCTTCAATTCAAATGTTGATACTTACCTACATTGATAAGGGGCTGCAAACAGTAAGAGATCATGCTCATTGAGAACTGTGAACAGCTGTTGAAGCAGGGGTGTCTACAGAGGGGGCCAGAAAAATCAAGTTGGTGGCCAAGATAATGCAATCAAAGCCCCCTCCCCCCTTTTTTAACATGTGTCATGCATGATGCACATTCAGAAGGGCTGGGGCTTCAATTACACAGCTGCAGCTGTCATCTTGAGGTTGTTGACCCCACACCCCCAGCAGCCCTGCATTGAAGCAACTAGAATGGTTGCCTGTCAGCTACTGGTCAAGTTTAGAGCTGACATCAAAAGCCTTAAACAAGTTGGAGTGACGTCTGCTTCTTGGGTTGCTTTTCCTTTTTTGGGGGGCAGGTTGGGACTATTTTCCTTTTTTGGGGGGCAGGTTGGGACTATCTTCTATTAAGTCTTTTAGGCACGTGATAGAGCAGTATTTCTCAACCTTGGCAACTTGAAGATGTGTGAACTTCAACTCCCAGAATTCCCCAGCCAGCCATGCTGGCTGGGGAATTGTGGGAGTTGAAGT